TCACCGCAACCTCCGCCTCCTGGGTTCAAGCAATTCTCCTGCCTCAGCCTCCCGAGTAGCTGGGATTACAGGCACGCACCACCATGCCCAGCTAATTTTTTTGTATTTTTGGTAGAGACGGGGTTTCACCATGTTGACCAGGATGGTCTCGATCTCTTGACCTTGTGATCCACCCGCCTCGGCCTCCCAAAGTGCTGGGATTACAGGCTTGAGCCACCGCGCCCAGCCTGAAAATGGTAATCTTAACAAAAGGTAATACAAGCTTGAACTACAGCCAATCAATAGCTTCCTTTGTTAAAGATGCTGCATCTTCACGACAAAAGAATAAAGGACAATAGTGAAAATGGTCTCTTTGGCAGCACAAGAGGTACTTTCTGGCAGACACAATAGACAGTAAAATGATTCCCCGGGAGGCTCTGGGATCTCTCTGGTGGGCTTTAAAAAAGGAGTTACTCCTCTGTGTGTGGGAAGGAAGCTGGGGAGGTGATGTGATAGGGCAGTCATCTCTGGTCCCCAAGTGTGGTCTTGGCTACTCATGCAATTGCAGCTAAGGTATCATGCCTACATCTTAAACCACTGGTCTAAGCATCTTGTTGGCCTAGACTTAATGTCTTAAATTCTGTGCTAGTCTGATCAGAAAACAATTTTCTTCTCATTTTCTCACCTTTTGTTTATGGCATGCTAATAATGCCATGCTAGTGGAGTACCGAAAGAAGCATGAGCAGGGGATGGCAGGCCAGCCACCTAGCCAGACAGATGGCACGGCTGGGCACACTCTCACCCCAGGGTCCTATGGCTGAGAGACTGAAAACTTTTCTTGCCACATTCTCCTCTACCTGAATTCAAGCTGCCAAAAGTTTCCTGATTCCTAGCCAAGCCATAAATCCTCTGGGGTACACCACAGAGAACCCAAAGTCTTTCAAGGGGAAAACATGCAGCAGCCTCTTTCCCGTGCCGAGGGGGAAGAGCTAAGTGACTGAATTTTCTGGGTCATGGAGTAAAAGGTATTCTTTACCTTAAACATCAAGGTTCACGTTAGAATTCCCAACCTCATATGAGCTGTGTTGATGTCTTCTGCTAACTGTAAGTCTACAACAGACCCCAAAAGGCAAAACCCACTGTGTTGCAGAATGTGGCAAGGCTGTGGGCCGATGGAGTGACCATGACCTCCAAACTCTAAGACAGGGGCCCAATGAAAGGCTAACAATGAATGGGTTTTAAAAGGGACATGGTCAGCTGCAATCCATAACTGCACAATATAGTACAGCAGGCTGGTCCGATTTTGGGTGGGCCGAAGGCCACAGACGTGGTGGAAAAGGGGCGGTGCTGGACAGATACAAAGAGGCTGGGGCCGGGCAGCACTGGTATCTTTCGCAAAGCCACTGCAGCTCATCAGGACTGCAGCTGTGCTTAGGAGCATTCCACTATTCACCTCCATTTGCATTTGTTCAGTCCACGGTGACCCAAGAAAAGAGCCCATCATCATCCTCATCTGCTGATTTTTTTAATAATCCTTTTTCGGGAAAATAGTCTTGGCTCCCTCAGACTTGTCTTTCTTGGAGGTCCCTTCCTAACAAGGCACATTTGGGGCTCTCCTCTGACTCTGGGATATGTATTTAAAAAATTCTCAGTAGTCGACCTGATTGCTGCCCTCCTCACCCCAGCAGTGCCAGTGATGAGTGAGTGCACCATCTCTCCTACACTCATAACAAATAATCAGCTACTCTTGTGCCTTCTCGCTGAGAGCGCTTCCTTGCAGACTTGTTCAGGGAAGTCCTCAAGCACAAGCCTCACAGTTTGTGCCATTTACTTCAACTGCCTTTCCTGTTCTTGTCCGTTTCTGACCAAGTTTTATAGATACCTGGAGTTTTAATCACCCTTGAAAGGTTTTGTTTTTTTTTTTTTT